ATGATGAAAAGTTGTATTTCAAAACCTCTAGGAAGAGAGACCTTCAGAAATAGATTTAGTGAGAAGAGAAAAAGAGTTTAACTCCAGTTCTAAAATCTTCAGTCCTATTTGAAATTGTTTAATCAGAGTGGGTCTAACTCAAAGCCCAATGAAGTCAAAAGAGAGACGTGAATTCAAAGGCTTTCTATCTAAGCCTTCAGTGTCTTAAATGAAAGGTACCATGTATATTAACTTTAATATATTAATTTGCCACATTCCATCATTACCAAATCAATATGTAATTCACTTAGTTTCATCCAGCACTCTACTCTTTTTTTTTTCCCCTCATACTGCAAAACAAAGCTTCTGTTCAGTAAGGTATATTTAGTGGCAAAACACATGTTAAGCCAATACAAAGGCACCTTCTCAAGTTTCACATGGTCTCTCTAATCTCTCAGCCACCTGATCTGAACTTTTACGTTTCTGGACCACTACTGAAAAAAGGTTATTAAGAAATGCCCATTTTGGAGAATCAGATCATTCTTATGGAAATACACTTGACATTTTGACTGTTAAGATTTTCAAAAGGGAACTAATGCTAACAACATTAATGCTAACGCTGGGGGATGAAGGGATTGAGAGCAGCCCTGTGGAGCAGGACTTGGGGGTACTGGTAGATGAAAAACTGGACGTGACCCATCAACGTGCGCTTGCAGCCTGGAAAGCCAACTGCACCCTGGGCTGCATCAAAAGAAGTGTGGCCAGCAGGTCAAGGGAGGTGATTCTCCTCCTCTATTCTACTCTACTCTGGTAATACCCCACCTGCAGTAGTGTGTCCAGTCTGGGGACCCCAACATAAAAAGAACATGGACCTGTTGGAGCAGATCCAGAGAAGGCCACAAAAATTATTAGAGGGATGGAACAGCTCTCCTGTGAAGAAAGGCTGAGAGAGCTGGGGTTGTTCAGCCTGGAGAAGGCTCTGGGGAGACCTTATTGAGGTTTGTCAATAGTTAAAGGGGGCTTCTAAGAAAGATGGGGACAGATGTTTTAGCAGGGCCTGTAGTGATAGGACAAAGGGTAATGGTTTTAAATGAAAAGAGGGGAGATTCAGAAATGTTTTACAATGAGGGCGGTGAAACACTGACACAGGTTGCCCAGGGAGGTGGTAGATGTCCCATCCCTGCAAGCATTCAAGGTCAGGTTGGACGGGGCTCTGAGCAGCCTGATGTATTTGAAGATGTCCCTGCTCACTGCAGGGGGGTTGGACTAGATGACATTTAAAGGTTCCTTCCAACCCAAACCATTCTATGATTCTATGCTTAAGTTTCTTTTCACAGAAAGATCAAGAGCCCCCCAACATTTCTCTTCCTGGCTGCTTTTGTCAGGTGCTACACAGGCTGCAGGGAAGAACAAGGGAGCTCCTGGGAGACCAAACAGCTCTTCCTGTCCTGGGCTCCAACAAATCAACCTGGATGGAACCCACTAAAAAGGTAAAACCCCATCCTAATAATTTGCCTAAGCACATAAAATTTTCAGAGGTTTAAACTGTGACCACTTTTAACTGTGAAAATCGTTGTGTTTTATAATGGACAAAACATTGTGTTTATTAAGAATTTCTTAAATGTTGGACTTTTTAAATTGAAATTTGTCATAAAATTCAGCCATGATTGGGATGTACTTACATTTGGCAAAGCCATGAAGAAACCAAGAACAAGGCCTAAACTTAAATGTGTCCAAACAATTTTAAATCTGAATATTAACGATTACAACAGTTGATATATTTGATCATTTAGACTACATATACTACATATATTATGTGATAAATATTCTGTCTATATATATGACACTATACATACATGTAATATGTATTACTAGTATTTTCCATTGATATATTTGATTACATATTCAGCCATTAAAACACCAGACAAAACTGAAATACACATTCTAATAGGTCCAGTCAGCTTATTAATTGCACATATGTGATGCTCTATGGCATCAGTGAGAACTACATACATGCAAACAGTCAGTAAAACAGGAGTAAAATTTCACTCCACCTTCACATTCAGAAATACCATATGACTTATATATGGCAAGACATCCTACACACCACAGAAAGTGGTAGATTGCTTTGCTAAGCAAAATGACTATACGTTTTTGTGCGGGTTTTTTATCAGGTGTACCAGATAAAGAAGCAATTTAGACAGATGCTTTGATGCTCAATATAATATTTTAAAATTATTTTTATTTTTAAGCAAATATCAGGTAACATTATTTGGGCAGATTATATCTATGGATGGATGGATGAATGCGTGCATTTGAAATCTCTTAGGTGTAATAATATGAAAACAATGACAGGTGCTAATTAATCACCACATTTTCACAGGAAAGCAAGACATTATAAACACAACATACTATAGAAACAAGGAAAAAGTCAGCTCAGGAAGATTTAAAGGGAAAGAGCTGGATTAAAAGAACACCGTATTTTAACTTTAAGGAGTTGACTTCATATTGGTTCTAATCCTATGGCAGACAAACATTTTGAATCATTTTTTAATCTAATTTTTAATCTAATTTCACTAAACCCACATAATATCATTCAACTGGAGTACCAGTAACAGAAGTTCCTCCTACAAACTGAAGCAACATTTTCTGAGTTTGCACTTTAATTGTACAGTCACTAGTATAAAGACACTCAATATTCTAAGCACAACAGTGATGGGAAAAGACCAAGTTTCCACCTCTGAACAGAAGGTGATTGGAAAACCTGCAGATACAAAGATGACATACAAAAGATCACTGGGTTAAAAAAAATAATGGAAGTAGACTCCTATAAAAATCTTACCTTTAGATCCAAGTACTCCAAATCCTTTTTCAACTGGATGTAAGTGTCATCCGCCTTCAGGTAAGTACATAAGGGAAAACAAAATGCAATGTATTTGAATGTTTGAAACAATTTCAAAATACTTGGATTGGTTCTATATAAGAAAATGGATGAAAGAGGAAACAAAATAACAGAGTAGGAAGTACATAAAAAAAAGCACATTTGTTCCACCAGCATGTTGTTATTTACAGCTGAAAATGGGCAAAATATTTTCCAAAAATATTACTACCTCATGCCCACCTTTCAAACATAGAGATTTGAGTTTTCCACCTCTAATGAGACACATAACTACCTGAAACAATAGATTTTCAAAAGTTAGTTTTTCAAGAATGATTTCTATTGACCATCCCTTCACTAAAAGTGTTATGGTGTTGTCCTCCAGCATAGCATGTCCCTTTTGGAGAAGACCTGCGCCTAACAATGTCAGATGTAACTAGAAGCCATTATACAACAAATGCTCACAATACTTTTTATCACATTTCATACACATTTTAGGATACAAATTCCTTTATTCAGGAAAACTACAAAGTAAGTTTTATGAATAAAATACTGAAAAAGACCTCACTTAAATGATTAGAGAATCCATTTTGCCTTTTAAATAATAGCAAGCAACTTGATCTTTACTTTTCATTGGCTCACCTGTAATTGCTATCAGTTTAATTTAATACTTATATTTCTCTAACAAGATCTTCATTACAGTTGCTTCAAGAAAAGCATGCACTTAAGCCATAACAAAATTATTTCTCCTTTTTTCAAAACAGACATTTGCAACATGCAATAAAATAAAGCTTAACTGTTGCAAATGTGTTTTGTAACCAGCCAAAATGCCCCAAAATTCCTAGAATTTTTACTGCTATTTTGACAGATTTTTATATCCTGGGTACATTAAATTTCAGAATAGAAGAAAAACACACTATACCTTTTCTCAAGTTTTGAGCCAATGACAATGTGTAGTTAAAAAAGAAAAGAAAAATCCTTTATGCAATAAAATCAATACATCACTCTTGCATTTCTTTAGAGGTCTTCACTTACAATTCTTTTCTAATCAGCTTGTAAGTCTGGCTGATGACTTGACTAGAAAGTCTGCCCATTTTTGGAGAAATCCCTGTTACTATCGCCCATCTTAGTGCAATTGTTCTGTAGGTGAGGTAAGTCAAGAAATGGAACTTTTCAAACTCAAAAAAATTCCTTTAGTTTTGGGCCAATATAAAGCCTCCACCAATTCCAAGAAGAGTCACTACATTTTATTCCCAGACAGCTCCATTACTGAGGCTCTAATATGAACCAAAGAGCTCTGTAAGTCCATTTCTGTTTGATCGCACATTTACAAGTTTCATACATCAGTGCAATCAAGAGCATGGTTGATGATCCAAGACGCCCGTGAGCTTTTATGAACCCACATTCACCTGCAGAACTGACACAGTTACAAGCTGATGTGAATGTACAAACTGGCTGATGCATTTCAATTTGCAGGTGACACAGCATGTGGCACAGGGAGCCAATCCCATCACAAAAGCAGCACAAAGAAATGGTTTTGCTTTAGAATGAACTTATCTAATATTTTGACACAGTTCTGAAGATGCAGCACTAACAGAAATAGTAAAAAAAGGAGGTATACAAAGGTATAACACTTTGAAACATATGCACTGATGCCCTGTAACTTAAAATGCTCATTTTTATAGCAAATACAGGAGCAAAGAAAAATCGCAAACGACCTGGGAATTGTAGAATACCAAAAAATGGGCAAGAAAGCACAGACTCAAGCACGCCACTAATGAAGCATTTGCAGAGTCACAAAATGTCATACGGCACAGATGAGCCAAGCAGCAGCTGACCTGATAGGTGGAATTAGTTGGCAAGTGCTGCAGTAATTGTGCGATTGTGTAATTTCGTATACTAGCCAACTTAGCCTGATGTCTCCTTAATCGAATGAGAAGCAATGTTAGCTCTTCAGGCTGCAGGTATTTAGACACATTGTAAAGAGGAAATTAGCAGTCTTCAGGAAGAGTAACTGTAATTACATTTTTCACCTCAGTGCCCAGAAAGCAGTTACTTGACATGATTAAGTAATTATTTCATTAACTCTGCATTTGGTCAAATAAACATAATAAAAGTTGAATTCTGTAATAACAGACAGTTCACCCTGTTCATGTCGCAGATAACAGCAAAATTCCTACAGGCTTTACTGGGAGCTGGTTAAGATTAAGTTCTCGTTCAAGTTATTTATGTTTTAACTAATAAAAATACAACTACTACATAAGGAGCAGGATTTTAAGACTTAACTACAATACTATGAGGATACATAAGGAAAAGTTGCTCTTTCAACTTACCGACTTGCCATGCAAACTGGGCGCGCTCACGGTATGTGTCATGTAGCCCATAGCAGGCATCGAGCGTCGATCAATGTGAGTTGAGCTCTGTAAGAAGCCACAGCCAGAATTGTAAGGCTTATCTCAAGTGAGAGGTATGCTGTACTCGATGGAAAATCCAGAAGATATGCAATTTCTGCCACAGAGTTTGTATTTGAACTCACAGTATGCTTAGATGAGGGTAACATTCATGGGCCAGCCAGATCCTCTGATGATTAAGTAAAACTTACGAATGAACAAACGCAAATTTAGCACCCGTGATGCTGGGCAGAAGAGCAGATTCTGGCAAGGCAAAATGCTTCAGCAGAACACACAAAGGGCTTCCAGCAAATAAAAAATACATTCATAAAGTACCCTCCCCCCTGCCGCCTACTTGATGTCTCCCAGAGAAAGGCTGGTTGGCTCATGCACTCCAACAGCAGGTTTTTCTCCACGCAGTAACAACCGTGAATGCCCTCTTTTAGCCAGGGAACACCAAGCTTCTGACAGGAGTGACACCTTGTGGCAATGGCTTCCATTAATACCGGTTTTATTAAATAATGGTATTTGATCTGCCCATTTCTGCATATAGTATGAAAACCTAGTGCACATCCATTCTTTCATCTTTCTCTTAACACCAAACTTTTATGGCTTTCTTCAAGGCAGACTAAACATCTCATGATTTATTTTTATTCCTGTCTCTGAATTTCACTGAATGCTGTTCTGTTCTGCCTTTTTTTTTTTTCCCCCTTTTCTAAAGTGTAACTGGATGGAAATTAATAAAGCATTCCAGGGAGGGGGGAATATCACAGAATTCTGTAGACATATACATTTAAATGTAAAATGATGCTGTGTACTTACATATGAAAACATGAAAGCTTTTCTCTAGAAACTTTAAAAGAAGTTTCACAGACAAGTTTTACAGATGAGGAAAATTGTGTTTCCCTATATTGGTAAAAAGTGTTTTATTTTATGAGTAAGATTTATGCAGCTACATTGCACAGGAAGGGAAAAGACTACGGCACATTCCTTTGTAAGGGATGTAATGCTCCTTCTACTTACACATGGAGAAAAACCAATGTCTGGTATGAAATAATCAGGAGTTAAAAAAAATATTAATTTCCCATGCTGCACATCACTAGACTATTTCATCCTCTGACAGAATACTATAAATCTATAAATGCTGAAAGACATCTGACAGCTAATCACATATACACTAGGAAAAAATCTAAACTGTGCATGAAGCTGGCATGCAACCTAAAGTCATGGTCCTGAACCACACTGGGTACCTGAATTTACAAGTCTCTTTGCAAATACTTTCCCCATCAGAGCCCATGGTTCAGGTCAAAGAATTAGGCGAATACAGAGGCTTTCATTTCCACTTATTGCAGTGTGAGAGCTACCAAGACAAGGAAATTCTACATTGATTCAATCCTGAATTTCCCTAATTTCCTTAGGCAAAGAGAGCCATGAGAGTACTGAATAGGTAAACCCCTACTACCTCTGGGTAAGAGGGTACAATGGTGTCCTCCAAAAAACCAAACCAAACCAAACAACCAAAACAAATCCCACACTGAAATTCTGCGGAAGGTTAAAGTTTCAGACCAATGCTATTTGATTTTGGTTAGCCCAATGCTACTGACTCTGCGAAGGGGTTAAACTATTAAATGCATTAAAAATTATTATGGTTTTAGCCATTACAAAAATTGAAACAGCCATACGATTGACTCCACTAGCAAAACGTAGAGAAAGTAGACATGGCAAACACTGAAGACTA